AAACACAACACAAACACAACACAAACACAACACAAACACAACACAAACACAACACAAACACAACACAAACACAACACAAACACAACACAAAAACAACACAAACACAACACAAACACAACACAAACACAACACAAAAACAACACAAACACAACACAAACACAACTCAAAACAACACAAACACAACACAAACAACACAAACACAACACAAATACAACACAAACACAATTAAAAACACAAAAACATAAGAAAACACAATTACAACATTAACACAAAAGAAAACAAAAACACAATGCAAACAATCACGATGAAAGCACACACGCTGATAAATTTGCATTCACATTTTGCTAATTATATTATTGTAACACTAATTCCTTCGAGGTCCGTAGATTTTGCATTCACATTTTTTCATAAGCGTGAGTTGAATTTATTTTTAAATTACCTCCCCTGGAAAATTACAAAACAGTTTAATCGATTATTTTTTTCGATCCTATTATTATTAAAATGTTTCCACTTTTTCTATGTATCTAAACGAAAATGATATTTGACATTATTCGTTTAATATGTTTTTGCAATGTGCGTGTATTTAATATTTTCTTTACGTTATGCGAAAGAGTAAAAACAGTGGCAACTATAAAATAAATTAAAGTCGTTATATAAACAAACCCTACTCTGTTAATTATAATGAAACTGAAAAGCACTGCGTAGTGCGATGTTTACTTATATGGTTCCAAAACCAAAAGCCCTAGCGATGACACGAGTACTGACACACTACCAGTCCCCTTTTATATATATATATATATATATATATATATATATATATATATATATATATATATATATATATATATATATATATATATATATATATATATATATATATATATATGTGTGTGTGTGTGTTTGTGTGTCTGCGCACATGTGTGTGTGCACATGTGTGTGTGCATATGCGTAAAGGAGAAACATGACCCCCCCCCCCCCCCTTCACGCCCAGATAGTAAACAACTCGGATCGGAACTCGTATCATTCCTCTTCTGTATGGGTGTCATAAATGGATGACTCCTTTGCGCATATGCACACACACATGTGCACACACACATGTGCGCAGACACACACACACATACACATATATATATATATATATATATATATATATATATATATATATATATATATATATATATATATATATATATATATATATATGTGTGTGTGTGTGTGTGTGTGTCTGCGAACATGTGTGTGTGCACATGTGTGTGTGCATATGCGTAAAGGAGTCATCCATTTATGACACCCATACAGAAGAGGTATGATACGAGTTCCGATCCGAGTTGTTTACAAGCTGGGCGTGAAGGGGGGGGGGGGGTCATGTTTCTTGTAAACGTCCACCCGTTAACTAACTCAACCAGTGTCGGGTAAAGGGGGGGGGATGAGTGGCCAGTAGTCCAAGACCCCAGATTTGTATAGGTCCCCATTTGCCATTACAAACAACATAAAAATAATTTTAATTTATGTTTTTGCTGATAACGACAACGTATTATTTTTTTCAAGCAAAGGCCACACAAATAAATTGCTTAAGTAATTCGATTGTCCCTTATTTTCGTTTTTTTAATAATGTTTTTTTCTCCAATCTACAGAACTGTCCTCGGATTAGAGGGTAGAGCACCTAGTCGCGGTTTTGGCATTTAAGGTTCTGCTATATTTGTTGGCAAAAAAAAAGAAAACAGATTTCTCCCAACATTAAAATACCCTGTGAAGAACAAACTTATTCCTAATATAATTGTAGCGAGTTTGTGCTGGTGTGCGTATTCGTTTGGGTATTCAAACATACATATGGGAACAGGGAATTACCCCCCCCCTCCCTCCAGTCAATCATTCCCTCCTCCGGACACTCCCCCACCCCTCGGACAATATATATATATATATATATATATATATATATATATATATATATATATATATATATATATATATATATATATATATATATATATATATATATATATATATATGTATGTATGTGTGTGTGTGTGTGTATGTGTGTGAGTGTAACCAATGAAAGAATGCAGCAACACGCTTTCTTCTACACAATGGTAGGTTCGATTATGGTATTGACAAAAACTAAAAAAAAAAAAAAAAAAAAAAAACCCAACAGACCTCCACAGTCTGTAAATAAAGCGATACAAAAAAGGTTAATAATCACAAGCTATTCTTACATACCATCGTACATTCGTACACAACATTCACAACTCATACACTAACAATGACAGCTACACACAATCTTACTCACCCCTAGGTCCGGTCACCATAAACTCGTCCGTACTGATTTCTTAACTCGGTCTGGATTTACTTTTTACTAGAACCAGAGTCTACTCTACCGTCTCTCGTGTACTATCTGTTCGTACTGTCCCGTCGCGTTTCGTTGGGTCCGTATTTATTGGCTACCCGTCATGTCCTAAGTGTCAAAGAGCAAGTCTGTCATTACGTACCGCCCGTCTCTGATCCCGTTCTCCCCCCGTGGTCGAACTCTGGTCCGCTCAGGGTTCTTTGTTGGCGATAATCAGTGTCAGATTGATTGAGCCCCTTTGTTACCTGGCCAACGTTTCCGCCAGTGTTTCTTCCAGACTTTTTTCTCCGGGGGGGGGGGGCACTTGAAATCTTCGGGGGGGGGGGGCGGTAAACTTTCTTCGGGGGGGGGGCGGACACTGTTAAAAGTATATATTTTCTATATAAATTATATAAATTTCATTTCGTTCGGGGGGGCGGTAAAAAATTTTCGGGGGAGGGGGGTGCTTCGCCCCCCCCCCCCCCCCCCCGAAGAGATGCCTGGAAGAAACTCTGGTTTCCGCTATTGATCACAGGGATGGCTGTTTAGGGCCGTCCCGCGATCGGCTTGACCGGTGGGTCGCCATTCAGCTGACCGGTTCAATAAGTGGTTTCGCCACACCCAGAGTGATGTAACAGCTACGGCAGCTGTAGTTCAAACTCCCGGGGTGTGCTAGGAATCCCGCCCCTATTATAGCCCTAACGCATTGATCGTAACTACCCCTAGTTACATATATATATATATATATATATATATATATATATATATATATATATATATATATATATATATATATATATATATATATATATATATATATATATAACCTAGAGAGCCCAATAAGAGTTAGCAAAACGATTACCCCCACCCCAAAAACTTAACAATCGGTTGTAAATTGGGATCGTCGGGAATGGTTGCTAAACCGAAAATGCTGGAGAGACAACTCCAAAATCAAACAACTCCTGCCTTGTGTGTTGTTCTTGGTTGGACAAAGGCTATGGAAGCAAATAAAAAATGAAAAGCAGGCTAAAATCGGGAGTCAACGGCCTAAATGGCGCATAACCAGCTAACACGTATACTTTATTGCTTTGGATGAAATCCTTTCCAATACTAAAATTAAGAACGAAGAAGAAAAGTTTGTAAAATATGTAAAATGAAGATGTGCTCAATTTGCCAATTTAACAATTGAATACTTGGCATTTGTGAGCTAGGAACGCTCGAATGTGATATAAACATCACAAAACTGCATTGAAAGTTTTTTTGGACGATGTTGTTACCAACATAAATTATCTTTAAAAACAAAAGACACGGTGCAAAAAAAAGGCAAAAGCATTTTTTTTTTCAAAGTTCAATATTTAATAACAATTAACATAAACATCATTACATCGATTTAGATACATAAACTCAACCAATAATTTTTTGTATTTATTTAATTTTCAAAGACATCCTTAAATTAAATTTACTACATATCTCAACCGCTATAACTGAAACTCTGAATGTTTTGATGTAACATCTATTTAAAACAAATTGAAAGTTTGTCCCCGGGCGCCACTTCTGGGGTCAGTTGTATAAACCTGTTCAGGACCTTAGCACTCTTACAAGTGGCGTGTACCCTGGTGTGATGAAAAGACTAAATAATGTCTTCAGCTTGGCACAATTGTCTATTAAAATACATTTAATGCAAAGTATAATAATGTATATAATGACATTACAATCTATTGGTAGAACTATAAAGTTTATAAATAGATTGCTGTAATAATATTTTATATAAGACATTAATCAGAGAAATAACATAGACTATACTTTTTATTTAGTCTATTAAAATACATTTAATACAAAGTATAATAATGTATATAATGACATTACAATCTATTGGTAGAACTATAAAGTTTATAAATAGATTGCTGTAATAATATTTTATATAAGACATTAATCAGAGAAATAACGTAGACTATACTTTTAATTTAGTCTATTAAAATACATTTAATGCAAAGTATATAATGTAAATAATGACATTACAATCTATTGGTAGTGTATAAAGTTTATACATTAGATTGCTGTATTAATATTTTATATAAGGCATTAATCAGAAAAATAATGAGACTATACTTTTAATTTAGTAAAAACAAAAAGGTAAATCACATTTAACAATATAAAAATTAAAGAAAAACAACCCATTAACCAATCAAAATTAGTTTTGAATTTAACATTATATAGTAAATATATATTATATTCACACTTAAAAGGCAAACAATAAAAACAAAACCAATAACAAAAAAAAAAAGAATTTTTAAAGAATAATTATTACATTTTGTAAATTTAATTAATATATTAATTTACCACACTCATCATTTAAAAATAAATTAAAATTTATAAGAATAACCATTTATAAGTAATAAACAAAACGAATAAGTGTTAACTTAATAGACAATAAAAAAGGCTATTTAAAACATTTAAGCCTCAAAAATTCTACTTAAAATAAGCCATTTTAAACAAAGTAAATTTATAATTTTTTTTTTTAAAACCTAAGCAGAGTGGTAGAGTTAAAAAGTTAAAACTTAAATCTATATCTTTTAATAGCTTATATAGTAAGCCAAGTAATGATAGATTTGATAAGTTAATTGAAAGCTATCTTTGGTAATAACAACTAGAAAAAAATGGACAGCCTTTTTATTGAATATTTTTGACTGAAAATAGTCTTGGGTCTAACAATCATTAAGCTTTTTACTTAAATGATAGTTATCAGGCCTTTGGTTACTAAAACCATGGTTAATATAACCTTGCTAACTGTGAAATTTATTACCATAACCTTTATTACCATGCAGTTGGTATCCATGACCTTGGTTACCATGACCTTGTTACCATGAATTGGTTGCCATGACCATAGTTAACATGATGTTGGTTATCATGACCTTGGTTATGACCTTGGTTATCATGATCTTGGTGATCAAGACATTGATTGTCATGAAATGGATTGTTATAACGCTCCTATGTCCATAAAAAAATGATCTTGGCCATTATGTCCTTGGTTATCATAAATTTCATCTAAATGACTTAGGTCAGCGTGCCCTTGGTTACCATGACGTTGATTAAAATTACTTCAGTTACTAAGAAATGGATTATAATCTTGGTCACCATGAAACTGATTAAAATGACTTAGGTCAGCGTGACCTTGGTTACCAGGATGTTGATTAAAATGACTTAGGTCAGCGTGACCTTGGTTACCAGGATGTTGATTAAAATGACTTAGGTCAGTGTGACCTTGGTCACCATGAAGCTGATTAAAATGACTTAGGTCAGCGTGACCTTGGTTACCAGGATGTTGATTTAAATTGCCTTGGATACTATGAAATGGATTATAATCTTGATCACCATAAAATTGATTTAAGTGACTTAGGTCAGTGGGTTCATCATAACCAGGATATTGACTTAAATTAGTAAAACGACTTTGGTTACTATAAAAGTGATCATAACCTTGGACAGCTTGACCTTGATTATCTTGGATATCTGGGCCTAAGTAAGTTGCAGATTGATAACCTTGAGCTTGATAACCTTGAGCTTGATAACCTTGAGCTTGATAACCTTGAGCTTGATAACCTTGAGCTTGATCACCTTGAGCTTGATCACCTTGAGCTTGATTACCTTGTCCTTCAGGAATGTCATATGTTGGCATTAAATTAGCCTCTGCTTGTTCAACATATGCTCGATTTGTCTGACCTAGATTAGATTGATATGCTTGACCTTGATCAGCTGTAGCATGATGCGTCCTACCTTGATTAGCTTGACCTTGATCAGCTGTAGCATGATGCGGCTGACCTTGATTAGCTTGACCTTGATCAGCTGTAGCATGATGCGGCTGACCTTGATTAGCTTGACCTTGATTAGCTGTAACATGATGTGGCTGACCTTGATTAGCTTGATATGCTTGACCTTGATCAGCTGTAGCATGATGCGGCTGACCTTGATTAGCTTGACCTTGATTAGCTGTAACATGATGTGGCTGACCTTGATTAGCTTGATATGCTTGACCTTGATTAGCTGTAACATGATGTGGCTGAGCTTGATTAGCTTGATATGCTTGGCCTTGATTAGCTGTAACATGATGCGGCTGACCTTGATCAGCTGTAGCATGATGCGGCTGACCTTGATTAGCTTGCCCTTGATTAGCTGTAACATGATGTGGCTGACCTTGATTTGCTTGATATGCTTGACCTTGATCAGCTGTAGCATGATGCGGCTGACCTTGATTAGCTCGACCTTGGTCAGCTGTAGCATGATGCGGCTGACCTTGATTAGCTTGACCTTGATTAGCTGTAACATGATGTGGCTGACCTTGATTAGCTTGATATGCTTGACCTTGATTAGCTGTAACATGATGTGGCTGACCTTGATTAGCTTGATATGCTTGACCTTGATTAGCTGTAACATGATGCGGCTGACCTTGATTAGCTCGACCTTGATCAGCTGTAGCATGATGCGGCTGACCTTGATTAGCTTGACCTTGATTAGCTGTAACATAATGTGGCTGACCTTGATTTGCTTGACCTTGATCAGCTGTAGCATGATGCGGCTGACCTTGATTAGCTTGACCTTGATTAGTTGTAACATGATGTGGCTGACCTTGATTAGCTTGATATGCTTGACCTTGATTAGCTGTAACATGATGTGGCTGACCTTGATTAGCTTGATATGCTTGACCTTGATTAGCTGTAACATGATGCGGCTGACCTTGATTAGCTTGACCTTGATTAACTGTAGCATGATGGGAATGACCTCGATTAGCTTGACCTTGGCTGACTTGTGTTTGATTTGTGTGACCTTGACTACTTTGACCTTGATTCATCTGGCCATTATTCATTTGACCTTGATAAGTGTGACCATGTTTATTTTGACCCTGATCATCCTATTATGAAAATAAACATGCATATATGTTACATACTGGTTTTCTTTTCTCTAAAAGCTGCTAATGGTAATTAATAGTGGACAAATAATCAAAAGTAAGCAATTTATAGCTAGGTAACAACAAGTAAGAATACTACAATTTACATAATTCTTTCAATAATTTTGTTGATTAGTAATTCGTTTGTTTTTCTCCCACAAATGCTATACGTTGTAAAAAAATAAACGTATAGACATTGGTTATGGTCAATCTAATACTTAGAACACATGATTCAAGATCAATTTCAACATCAATATAAATGTCACTTGCGATTGACAACATTCAGCACAGTTATATATCTAATGAAATTGGAGTGGCTAAAATAAACATTAATAAATAACAATAATGCAAAAGTCATAACAATAGATTAAATCAACTTCACCCACCCTATTGACAGTGAAGTCTAGAAGGGTATCTTTACTTTTTATATTTTAAATATCATTTGTGAGTTAATTTAAAAACGATAATAATTTTTTTTAAAAATATAGTTGAAATATCTGTTCTTACCATGGTATATGCAGAAAAATCAAGCTGAAAGAAGTTCATGGGTTTAAATTTTGTGGGGTCCAGTTGACTTATTTTTATGGGTGAGTTGTATCGCCCTGTCCAAGTGCAATGAAACAAGGGCGATTGGTGCCGGCTGATGTGGTCTAGGCTTCTAAAGAAGTTTTCCAGTGTGGTGATGATGTTATGGTAATTCTTTGCTGCTTGTACGCTTTCTATCAAACACTGCAGACGTTTTGGCATGCTTTGTGTACTTTTTACCTGCAGAAAGGCTATGTGTTATTTTTTTACATCAAGATTAATTAAGTTTATTTTATGTGGGCGTACTTTCTTTATAAGGGATGGTATGGACAGATGGTAGAGTGTACGCCTGCAAATTTTAAGTCTTAAGTTCAGCTCCTGGTCTAAAGATGGTATTTACCAAAGTCTAGAGTTCAGATCATGGGCTAAAGTCGGTATATACCAAAGTCCACCCAACTCTGATTAGAGAAAATAAAGATAACTGAGCATAATGTTGACAACAATATCCCTTCATAAGTCGAGATCATACAAACAGATGAACTCTACTTCATTTTCTCCTTGGACTGCAAAGTCCAAAAATGTAATAATTTCCTTTTATTAAAGTTATTGCAAGAATATTTTCAAAATAGCAGCAACAAAACAATAATAATAGCACAAATAAATAACAGGCATATATAAATTTAAAACATCAAAAACTATTTTTTGAGAGATATTACTTTGTGTAGTTCTATCCTGATTAGCCGTTCAAAATCTCCAGGGACATAATTTCTTGGAATGTTGAGCAAGATGACAAGGGCCAGCACTAGAACTCTTTCAGCTAACAAGAACTGTGGCGGTTTTGATCCACACAATTGATTTACTCTGTTGATAAGGCTAGAAGAAAAGAGTTTAAAAATAACGTTTTAGAAAATAAGCAGTGCTTAAACAGATGTTAAAGGGTAGAGCACTTGACTGCTAACCCTAAAGTCTTGAGTTCAAATCTGGGTCCACATCAGTAGAATGTCCTGAGTCCACCCAACTCTGATGGGTACCTAACTCACATTTAGGAAAGTAAAGGTGGATGGGCGTAGTGCTGACCACACATTGCTTTGCCGAGGTCAAGAAACATATGAACTCTAAACAGGAATGTTTATTTTGTTTTACTCACACAGATACCAAAGTATTATAATTGTTAAACAAAACCATATTCCGATGTAATAACATGTCTAAATAAATGACTGGTTATTTTATTCCACTTTAATCATAAAAAATTAAACTGTGTAGTTTTCATAAAAGAAACTCTTACATTTTAAATGTTGCATTTTAAATATTAGGTGTTGCTATGCATTTTAGACAATAAATACAAAATTGCGTAAAAAATATAATTTTGTGTTTATGCAAGTATGTCCTTTATGTCTGCGTATGTGCTTGTGAATGTACTAGACGTGCACTGCTAGGTGTCTGGGGATTGCAGCAAAGAAAAAATTAGAAAAAAAGGAGGTTTAATATGACCAAACCTGCAACAGGCTGTATAAACGTCATATTCTCTTCTCTCCCAAGATGTAGCTTAATAATTATAATTTGTAATGCTTGAGACTCTTGGGCGACTGGCCTAGTCCCCAAGGCAATGTACAATACACCACTCTTGTATGTACATAGGTGTATTTGTTTGTAAATGTATGTAGGCCTATACTTCAACATCATTAATTAAATTACCAATCAACATTATTAATTTAATTACCAAACATCATTGATATAATTACCAATCAGCATCATTAATTTAATTACCAAACAACATCATTAATATAATTAGCAATCAACATCATTAATTTAATAACAAAACAACATCAAAATACAGTACAGGTTCTGGTGTGTGGGTATTGTAAGTAAAAACATATTTACCCATTAGAATTGTTTCCAATCAATATGTTAATTAGCTGATTCTGAATCTCAGATATAATTTTATGATCAATCCTGCTAGCTATAACCATTTCTTGTAATGTTTTTGGGCTATTTTTGTCTTGTTTTTCTGCCAAGCAGTTGTTTAGATTATGAATGTTGGCCAGGAAATATTTTGGAAGATAAAATTGGCATTTTGATGACTGGGATTTACTCCCCTGAAAAGTTAAATTTTTGCATTAATTACGAGACAAGCACTGACTGCCAAACAACTTATGGGAATAGAAAAATTAACAATACTATTTAAAATAATGAGAATAACCTTCATTTTTACAAAAAAAGTAATGTATTGCTTCTAAACTTTTAAAGTATAAGTAATGGTAGGTATATTAAAAGTAATATGTTATTCATGAAAAAAACTAATTCAAAAAACGCTATAACATTCTAGAACTCATTATTTCTTACATTTGCTATAGAGAACCATAAAGTACAAAAGTGAACTTCTATCCAAAAGATGACCAAATCTAATTTGGGCATTGAGATATGGCTGTCTTTGTCCTTCATCTCCATCAGTTTAACAAAAGCCTTACAGGCAGCCACTGGGTCATTGTCAGATACAAATTTTTCTATAGAATCCTTGCTCAAGGAGACGATTTCTAGTGTTTCCTGAGGATCAGTCAGATAATAATTTTAAACATAAAAAAAAATTAAAATAAAAATTCATTAAAATTTAAGATTAGTATGGATTATCATTTTAATACATTGCTAACAATGTTTTGGTATATTTGGGGTTCTTGATGAGACTGTTATGCTTTTTAATTTTGTTTTTCCTACCTCCATCTATCATCCTAAAGAGCCAAATTTTACATTAAATAACATCAATCCATTATTAATTCTAATTCTCCACCGCACCCCTTCCACTTCTATCATAAATGAAAATTAACATGTATTCATCATTTGTACTTGAAAGAAATATTCTAAACCACACTAATTCTTCTTCAACTCACACTTTTATATTTACAGGCAACACTTTTACTGAGAGATTACAGAAAAGCTGTATTGTTGTATCAACAATTAAAACAATTTATTGCACTTGATGTCAGTTATTTTCGCTAATCCCATTCAAGTCACTTGTAGATGAAATGCATATTTCTTAACTTCTAAAAAATGTCCCCAATACTTTGGTTTTACAAGGGCAATAACTTTTCTTTAAACAAGGGAAATAATAAAGTAAGAGTGGGATACTTTACCTCTTCATCAGTTCCAAGCTTGATTGAAGGAAACTTCAAATTGAGTAGTGAGGAAAAGAAACAGGCCTCAATAATCCACTTTGGTGTAGGCGTAGTGCTCTTTTGGGTGTAGAAATAACTGAATAGCAGTGAGAAAATTATTTAAAATAATAACAATGAAACTATTTTAAATGCATGTTTTTGTAGAAAATATAATGTTTCTGTAAAAAATGACAAATTAGCAATCAGTGCTATATGTTTCTTGTTTAATCTACATGAATCATTTGAATGCAGTTTTAAAATAAGACAAATTATATAAATTTGAGGAGGGGGAAGAAAAAAAATTAACAGCATTATGTTTATGTATAAAATGTAGATGATGGTAAAAATATATGAATAACAATTAAATAATAGGTGCAAATATGTGCAGTTATTTAAATATTATTTCATATAAATGTTTTGGACACAATGATTAGTCATACCAACATTAAGTATTTAATTGATATAGAGGCAAAGATAAAAAATTAGGGCTTAAATATGTTTTGTCCATCAAATAAATATTAAAAATTTATATTCTTTGAAACGTTTGTCACTTGAGACAACTTGCCCCTTTGACTTTTACCCCCACTTTCCTCTACATTAACAATATTAATTCTTTAATTGTTAAAATAAGTGTTTACCCTTACAATTAGTTGCCATATTTACATTGCCCTCATAATTAAAATGTCCTCTAAATAGTTAAAATGGTTAGCCTTTGATAACACTAACAAAGACGTATGTTAAATTAAATAAAATGTTTACCGTTCAACTTGTTTAAGTCCAGATTTCATTGACCTAACCTCTGATAAAAACTTTTGTATTTGGTCAGTTTCTGCTCTTCGAGGTGACACCCTGACTGGCAGCACAAATTCTAAAAACTCATGGACAGAATCCCAGTTGCTAATACTCAAGAGTTTTGATATGGACTTGGTTTTTGTTTGTTCACCAACTTTTTCTGATCCACTTTGGATATGGAAGTCTAGCATCAGCTGTAATAAGTGGATATTTTAGATTTTATGAAAGTCTAACATCAGCTATTGGCTGTGAGCAGGAGACTTCTTCTTCTTTGTTCTTAATTTTTAGTGTTGGGAGGGATCGAGCCTTATCTGCCAGAGGGTTTGAACTCGAGACTTTTTTCGAATTTATCAACCATGAGCTTTGCCAACTCGACCATGCTTCCATCACAATTAAGGATTACGTGTCAACTGGTTATGCGCCATTGAGGCCATTGACTATGATTTCAGCCTGCTTTTCTTTTTGTATTTGCTTCCATAGCCTTTGTCCAACCAAGAACAAACTACAAGGCAGCAGTTGTTTGATTTTGGAGTTGTCTCTCCTGGAAGAGTGGCTGTCCCCAGATAACGAGCCTCATCTGCCCGAGGGTTCGAACTCAAGAATTTTCGGTTTAGCAACCATGAGCTTTACCGACTTGACCATGTCGACCCCTCGAGCAGGAGACAATTTTAGGAAATATGGTAGACTAACCTAATCAATAAGTTTTGAAAACAAAATATAAAGAAAAACTATGTTGTCTTTTAATTTAACAAACTATGCAGAGAAAGCCATTTCAATATTCTTCTAAAACTGTGTATATTTTCAAGCATATGTTTAAATACTGTAAAGTAACCCTTATTTCAGAAATATTTTGAAAATGATATCTATACTTACTGATAAATTAAAGTTTAAACAGTGCACATTTATCATCCGTATTAATTAATTAGTTTTTTTAAAATATGCAGAGAAATTTATTTCTGAAAGTGTATACAAACTCTATAACACTTTGACAAATTTAACCCTTACACCAGAAATATGTTCTAATGCAATATCTATACTTACTGATAAATTAAAAAGTTTTAACAGTGCAAACTCTTCATCCATAGTGGGATTGGTATTGTGCTGACAACCAGATGTTGTACACTTAAAGCCCTCTAGATGTCTTCTACAAACTCTCTTCTTCTTTATGGCTGTCTGTAATGATTCTTTTACTTCAATAATCCACTGCTCCATTTTCTGGATGATTAGTCCCTCCAACTTAGTGATAGCCTATAAGGATTTGCATTGTATAAAAGGGTTTTTATTTTACTTATTAGTTATTTAGTTCCTTGTATAGTTAAGCCTTAAATCGTAATTTTGTTTTTAATTTCAAAACAAAGAACTGTATATATATATATATATATATATATATATATATATATATATATATATATATATATATATATATATATATATATGTGTGTGTGTGTGTGTGTGTGTGTGTGTGTATGTATACAGAGAGGGCAAGAGAGATTTATAGTATTTTGTAAACAAATGTTCAGGAGAGACACGGCTCTTGTAAATCTAATATGTGTAAAATTGTCTAATATATATATATATATATATATATATATATATATATATATATATATATATATATATATATATATATCGTGCGGCGTCAATTCGGCCAATGACGAAACGGCCCCGTCAAAACGACCCCGACAAAACGACCCCGTCAAAACGACCCCGTCAAATCGGCCCCGTCAAAAGGGCCAGCGACATATGGACCCCGTCATATAGGCTCCCGACAAATAGGCTCCCGTCATTTAGGCTACCGACAAATAGGCTCCCGTTATATAGGCTCCAGACAAAAGGGCTCCAGTCAATAAGGCTCCTGACAAATAGGCTCCCGTCATTTTGGCTCCCGACATATAGTCTCCCGTCATTTAGTTTTTTCCACAAAACGGCCCCCGTCATTACGACTCCCGACAAATAGGCTCCCGCCATTTAGTTTCTCCACAAAACGGCCCCCGTCATTACGACTCCCGACAAATGGGCTAGCGTCATTTTGGCTCCCGACAAAAAGGCTCCTGTCAATTTGGCTCCAGACAAAATGACCACGGACACAGTGACGTAGCTACCGTAAAGCTAGCGTAAGCAAGGCATGGGGGCCCAAGGCACATAGGGGCCCTTTTCCCTCATAAACAATTAAAACTTTTACAATGGAATTTTAATATTTGTTACATATAAATAATTTTAAAAAAGAAAAAGGTTAAAAGTTCCAAAAAGCCCCCCCCCCCACCGTTTCAGCAGTGGGATTCAGTGTTTGTGGGTCAAACAGAGCCCAATCGTTATAATAACACTACAGGCTATATCACTTTGTCGTGCAAGACATTGAGAGAATCAGCCTATAAATAAACTTTTTAGCAGTAGTAGGCAAGCATAATAATATAGTATAAATACAAAATCAGGACATATAAAATACAAAATGTTGCCTTCAGAATATTTATATATTAAAAAATATCCATCGTAAGTAGAAGTTGATCTCTTCGTTTAACTCCTCTGCAGCCTAACGCAGAGGCGTAGCGAAGGCGAGGCGGGGGCTGCGGACCGCAACGGGTGACACCATTTAGGGGGGGGGGGGTGACACCAAAGGCAAAAAAATGTAAAATTTATAGAATGAAATGCCATTTTCCAGATCCATTAGTTAAAGTTAAATAGTCTTCTAAGTACAAATCGAAAATTATATCAAGAGGGGGGGGGGGTTGTGACACCACGACGTAAACGTAAACTATAAAGAAAACAATGCTACATCCAACTGTATTATAAACAGACTGTAGATAAACATCGTTACTATTAAGATGCAGTGATTAAAGCTTAAACACGTACGTGTACCAGTATGTGGCATATATATAAACTTTAGGCCTATGTAGGCCGACACACACACACACACACACACATATATATATATATATATATATATATATATATATATATATATATATATATATATATATATATATATATATGCTTTGTTTCCTGGGAGGGGGTGACAATACGACAATACGAAGTGCCGCACCGGGTGAGACCCGACCTAGCGACGCCACTGGCCTAACGGCTGACGAAGGGGCCCACTGATAATTTTTGCATAGGGGCCCAAAAATCCTAGCTACGCCACTGCACTGACAATACCGTTTCTGTAGAGACTAAGTCTCCCGGCAAAGCGGTCTCATTGAATATGACATCTTCCAGTGGGACCCCTTCATCAATATTCTTTAGAGTTAGCTTATCCAACACTCTTATGTAATACAACGTATGCATCTCTTGTTCGGCAGGCCATATTTTTATATTAGTTTATCTATTATAAAATATAGCATGTTTTAATTTAAGGGTCATCTATCTATGACATCCATAATTGAGTCGGTCATAGGATGTTCGAACTCATTGTGCGGGGAGAAGGGTCCACGCTGTACCTTCCTAACTGCAATATGCTTGTACAGGGGCATAGCGAGGGGGGGGGGGGGGGGCGGGGGGTGCGGACCGCACCGGGTGACACCATTTAGGGGGGTGACACCAAGGCAAAAAATAGCAAAATATATAGAGAAAAAGTTGAGGGGGTGGGGGTGCAAATCGAAAGTTTGGGGGGGGGGTGCAAATCGAAAACTTGAAAGTTTGTCCCCGGGAAGGGTCGCAACGCCTCTGGGAGGGGGGGGGAAACCATTAAGTGCCGCACCGGGTGACACCCGACCTCGCTACGCCACTGTACTTGTAGGTTATCAAAACAAAATGCTGTTATCATGTTAACATCATGTATATCATACATTTACACTTCTGTGCTCGCTTTTAAGCTTTTAAACTTTAGAATTGGTGGAATTTAGCTGTTAAGGGCTCGATTTGTTTGTGAATTAATGTTGGTTCATGAAAAAATAATTTCATTCGGGCATTAAAAAGAGGTTATGGTGGTATTGGAGGTAGGACACAATGGTTACTTTTATGCCAATAGTGGTCATATCATTCATTTTTCTGGAGCCAATATGTCGGGAGTTATTTTGTCAAAAGCCAATATGTCGGGAGCCCAATTGCCGGGAGCCAATATGTCGGGAGCCCATTTGTCGGTAGCCAAAATGTCGTGAGCCCATTTGCCGGGAGCCCATTTGTCGGTAGCCAAAATGTCGTGAGCCCATTTGCCGGGAGCCCATTTGTCTTGAGCCCTTATGTCGGGAGCCAATATGTCGGGAGTCCATTTGTCGGGAGCCTAAATATCGGGAGCCCATTTGTCGGGAGCCTATATGTCGCAAGTCAATATGACGGGAGCCCATTTGACGGGAGCCAATAAGTCGGGGCCCTTTTGACGGGGCTATTTTGACGGGGTCGGTTTGTCGGGAGTCGATTTGACGGGGTCGTATTAACGGGGCCGTTTTGACGGGGCCGATTTGTCCCGGGCCGTTTTGACAGGGCACCATATATATATATATATATATATATATATATACATGAAAATGCACCTTTTCAAAGCTGATTAGAAAGAATTTCTTTTTTCCTGTAGAGTCCTCCTTAAACTCTTCACCCAGCAGGGGGTTATCAGTTGTGTAGCAAATCAAGTTCTCAGTCAGTGAATCAAGCTCTAGTCCAAACAAACTCAGGTACATTAAACTGAGCTGCTTGCTCTCTGAATGGGCCTCATTTATTGTTGTTATAATCTGTTGAAACACAGTTTTCCAGTTATTAGTTTACTATCATTGTTTGTTTTCTGTTTCTAATAAATTAAATACACTAAATCTAGAAAATGTCCTGTTTTTACAAGGTTTTATTTAACTAACTTTCGTTGACTGGTTAAAAGTCTTACTTAAAAAGTTCAAGTACTATACAATCGCATGACAAAATAACTATCGCGCACCAAATGAACAAAAACAATGCACATATAATAGCACAGAAAATTGCATTTTAAATAAGAAATTTTAGTTAATTCATTAAAAATTCAATAAGCATCCAATTAGGTCAAATTTGATATCACATTGCATTGTCATCAGATCTTGACCCACAAGCCAAGTTTGAAAGAAGTTGGTAAGTTAGAAGTTTTTAAATGTGAGCTTGCCTGTAATAATCATGGATGAACAAAGCATGACAGACAAAAGAATTCAGCAAGATGAAACAGTTTAAATAAAAGATTTTCTTTTTGGTTATTTATATAGTGGTTCATAATTATTTTTTTAAAATCATTTATTTTCTACTTTTAGTGCATATTATATAAAATCTTGTAATTAAAATGTGTTTTTAATAGAAACATTTTATATCAAACATTTTGCAAGATCTAGTAATTTAAGCTGAAATCATTGTTATTAAAAAATTATTCAAAAGAAACATCTGAATCAACCATAGTATAATAGGCCGAAATTAGGCAAACAGAAAAATGGACTTACATTGAAACCAAGTTTCAAAACATTAAAGAAGTTGTCTACATCAGTGTTTGTAAGCAATGGATCTGGTGCATCAGCATAAGTTAGACAATAGAATTTTCCCACATTGTTCTGTGGTTTAGCTTGACTGAAAATTTTGGATGCTAGACAGAGAGCACAATTTGAATAAAACATCTTAGTTTAAAAACAATTTGAAATAAGAAAATGTAAAGAAATAAATTGTTTAAAAATCATCCAGTAAATAAAAAGGGCAGTTTTAAAAGATGTTTACTTGCATATTGCTAATATGCTAATTAGTATAAACAAGGCACTTCAATACATGCAAGAAAATTTGAATTACATTATCATCATACATTTGACTTACAGGATTTATTAACAATTAGTATAATAAAATATTTATTTATTAATTATTAATATATATATATGTATATATATATGAATATATATATATATATATATATATATATATATATATATATATATATATATATATATATATATATATATATATATATATATATATATATTTTTTTTTTTTTTTTATATTTTTTTTTTAATTTTATTTATTTATTTAAATTTATATGCTATTTACCAGCATTTATTTTTGTTATATCTTCACGATAAACTCCTTGCATTAAGGTGGCTTTTGCTTGTCCATTAAAGTCATTTAATTCAATAAACATTCCCAGTGCCTTTTTGGTATGATGATCAAATTCCTCCTAAATAATTACAAAATATTTCAATTATTTAAAGATTAGTGAACATTTTAAAAATTTCAATTTAACTGCAAATATAAGATCTTACAGGTTTATTTTGTTCTGCAATAAGCAAAAGTATTTTTGCAGCCAGAGGCTTATGGAATCCATCTTGGGCATACTCTAGTGCTTTAAGGAACTTTCCACCCCTAAGCATTAAATGTGCTGCTGTCTCGGTTTCACCTGTTTGAAGTTGAAAAACTATGAAATAATGGTTTTCGCTATTATCTGAAATGAACTCAAAGAGGTGTGTTGAAAAAGATGAAATTTTTAAAAAGTATAAATACTATTAATATTTGGATATTTTTTAATGCTTAATAATGTATTAGGCAGTAATTCATAAAGCAACAACAACCAAGCAAAAATTAAAAACACAAAACTTAGTCGTAATTTTTTTTTTAAATAATAAATTTCAGAGATATTAGCAGAGAAAAATAAAATAGTTGTGCAAGAAAGGCTAATTGAGAAGGCCTGTTTATTTATTACTGAGAGATGTTTTGTTTGGGCATTTATTAAAAAATATTAACTGATAACTATATATTATTATTTTATGTATACAATGCGATTAATACTTGGTAAAAGATAAAGCGTTTCTAAAACTTAAACAAGTAATGCAAAAAAATATATAAAATGCATGTTTTTTAATTAAAGGCAAATTTTTTTTTTTTTAATTATCGACATTTTGAACTTTTAAAACATTTTATAAGTAATAAAGTAGAGGAATAAGCCTACTTTTATAGTAAACAGAGGTAGTAAATTTTACCTTTTGATCTCAATATTTCTGCAGCATTTTCCCACAACTCTTTTCTTTTATAGAAAGATACTTTTTCATGAGAGTCTTCTAATTTTTTAATAACCGCATGAACTTCATCCATTTTATTTTCGGAAAAATAATAATCAGCTTGGCTAAAAGTATAAAAAAAATAATTAAGTATCTAAGGGAATAGAGTTTTCATAATTACTGATTACAAATTTTCTATAGTGAAAATTCAATAAACAAGTTTACTTCAATAGTATTTTGTCCAGTGCATATTCATCGGCAGGCTTGTTTTGTAACAGTACATTTTGCCACAACTTATTTTCTGTGTGAGCCTAAAAAAGAGAAAAAAATATTAGTTAAAAGATAGAAAGATTCAATGACTTAATGCTATCTAACTGTTAGGTAGAAGTCAAAGCAGATTAGTAACAGTTTAATTAATGATAATAATTTTGCTCAAATTGTAAAATTCTAATTATGCGCAACATAATACTTTTTATATTTTTGGCACATCAGATGTCTTTATGTAAATTGATTTAGTAATATTTCTTGTGAAAAGCATTTATTGTAAAATAGAGCTATCCTAGGCTTTTTTTACATCATTAAGTATCATTATGGTTAATACTAATGAGTTTAATTTACTATGGCTTGTTCACTTGTTCTTTATAACATTGATTTTAATAAGTACCTTAATCAAATCATTATATCTGTGGTGGCATTTTATGGCTTCTTCAAATAATTTCTGTTTACACAACTCTTTGACAGCATCTCCATAACGTCCAAGCTGTTCTAGACAAGAGCAGGCCTTGATATAAGATTTTGCTTCTAAATATTGCTTATATGCTTCTTCAAACTGTAATATAAACAAAATATTATCAATCTAAAAGTTATTTCAATTTTGTAAAAAAAAAGATATTTATATTTGTTATTTAACTTAAATATGTGCCTAATGTAATATTATATTTACTTTTGTAAATGTAATATTTTAGAAAGATTAAAAATAAATTAAACATGCCATTTTTACACCTTTTAATTTAGGCCAAATAAATTAATATAATAATTTTTTATGGTAACACTTTTTTTTTACACAACACTGTTTTGTAAAATATAAAATTAAACACTTAAGAAAATCAGATGTGCTATACAATATACCCTATACAATATTTCATATTAAAGTTAACAAATATTTTAAATATTGATTCAATGTAGCATCTAAGCTATCTTTTAATTATTATTAATTGTTTACAGTTTTTTTTTAAACGGATGCCTTTTTTTAATGCATATCAGGATGGACACTACAATTTTCTAACAATACGTGTCCAAGTGAGTCCAAGCATTTTCTGCTATACATTTTCAACTTTTTATCTGGAAGTCATGTTTATCTTTATCCTTTCTTATAATTAATAAACTGAATAAAGTCAAGCAATAACTAAATCAATCACTTAACAATTAAACAGTATTACAGATAAAAAATAAAATTCTAACCTTCCCACATTTTTCAAAAGCCATTGCTGCTAGTGCATTTTCCCCTGCATTTTGAAAACAACGAGCAGCTGAATTCAGAAATTTACAATGGGCAAATTGAAAACCAGCAATAAGAAATCCATTTTTCTTGAGACTTAAGTTTGTATGTTTTGTAGCTGAGTCTGCTTTACTGTAAGCGATGGCTTTTTTTTCTCTGTTTGGCTTCTGGGCTTTCCTGAAAGCATATTTTTTAAAAATTAAAATAAATTCTAGTTTTAAAGTTAGTTGCAATCTGCCCTACTCACATAGGATAAAAATCTGATTTGGCAGGAGAAAAAAGCAAGTTTTGGGATACAATCGTTTTATGTATTGGGGTAACAAATCTATTTCACTTAGCCTCATAAATTATAGATCATAAGGTCTGAAATAGTACCCTTATGTCTATCAATATCTATGAGAAAACAATAAAGTTTGTGATACAATCGTTTTATGTATTGGGGTACCAAATCTATTTCACTTAGCCTCATAAATTATAGATCATAAGGTCTGAAATAGTACCCCTATGTCTATCGATATCTATGAGAAAAAAAATAATAATCAAACCTGTAACATTTAATTGCCTCCAAAAATAATTTCTTTGCCATGAATTCATCCCCTCTTTTTACCCAGTCTTTTGCAGTAGAGGCTTCCATAAATCCTTGCAAAATAAAAAGGTTAATCAAAATGTATAAAACATCAATAGAAACAGGGTTTTACATAAATAATGTTTTCCGTTATTAAAATAAAAATTTTGCTAGTAGTTTAATAAAAAGTGCCCGATAATTTAAGACTAAAAGTTATTCACATCAAGAAAGATACTTGTGATTTTAACTGAATTCTGACTCTATAATAATTTACAAAACCAATAATGTAATGTAGATTTAATTCATTTCAGTTCATCATTGATAAAACTAATTTTGTTTAACAGAATATTTATTTTAATTAAAAAAAAGGTAGTTGCTGTTTAGTTAATTTTTATACCTTTGACTGAATCAGATTGTTCTTGTCCTTGTGACACCAGTTTCTGAGATTTGAAAAAATGAAACATTGGATCTCGTTTCTTAGCACACTCATCAAATATCCAGACATTAACTCGAGCTCGTGTGACTGCAGTGTAAAGCTGCTTGAGCTCAGTCTCAAGGAGCTGGTGCTGATTTTTATCAAAGGGCAAACCTTTTGGTGCATCCTTGTGCTCTAGTAAAACTGAAACAAAAATAGTTTCTAGATCTTTATGTTGATTACTTGGCTTAAACAATGTTCTAAAATTCATAATTTGACAGAGTATTATAACATTTTTATAAGCGTAGGGTTAAACTACCTTTATTTTTTAATGTTTGCTAGAATTAATTCTAATTTTTTATCAACAGCGATAATTGTAATAACTATCACAATGTAACATTATTATAAATATTATAATAAATAAACCATACGATATAAATATAATAATTTACAAAAGCAGATGATAAATGGAAAAATAAATATTAATGTAAAATTATAAATCACCGAAATCAAAATTTTCCATTCCTTCATTTGTTTGTTTTGCTTCATCAGCTAAAGCATTTAAGAACTCAGTTACAACTCGCCACTCTTTTTCAGCCTAAATTTTAAAAAAAATCAGGTTTATTACACAGCATTTGTTTTATTTAAAAAAAGAAAAATGTTGGCAATATAAAAAAAAAATTTCTATACCTGTGAATCTTTAAAAAAGTTGTAAATTAAGATATCATCAAATTCAAGTCCCTTGGATTCAAAAATAGTTAAAACTATTCCATTTTTTAACTCTTCAGGAAGGAGATCTTTGGTCTGCTGATTCGCAACTATAATTGCCTGGTGTGCTCCAAATTCAATATGGGAGGTTTCTCTCTGACTACCTGTCAAGAGTTTAGCCAACTCCGCTGAAATATTACAAGAACAAGTTTTCAGATATAGAATTTATTTCAAAGTAATAATTAAAATAATATTTGTTTTAATCTTTTTTGTTTGAAGTTATAGTGTAATTTTAAAAAGTTTCTTTAGACTTTATAAATGCTAATTAATTTGTTTGCTTATGTCATAAATATTTTAATAAAACTTATGAACTGAACCGAGACTTAATGTCTTGAAAGAATGTAATTCTTCAACTTTAACTTAATATAGTTACTATAATTTTAAAATATATTTACTATTGTTTAAATATTGTATTTTAACAATTGTTTGGTTTTCAATATATTAATTTAATAAACAACAATTTAAAATATTTTTTCTCTCTACTTAAGAGTTTTAGAAAAGTATATTTAAATGTTTTTAACCTGCTTCGCACGTTTCTATTAGCAAAGGCTTCGGGCCATCGAACATGCCCTGATCTTTTTCTAAACAATCTATTGTATCGGGAAAGAGTTTCTCCAATAGGGCGAGAATTGAGGACGCAAGGGATAGGATGCCTGCGTGAGACCTGTAATTGATGGTCAGATGCTCAAGCTGTGAAATGTTAAAAGAAAAACATTAATTTATTTGTAATTAACTAAAAGTATCGTAGGTATAGAATTTGTGTATAATCAAAGATACTTCTATTTTTGAAGATCTACTTTGCTTTGTATTTTTTTATTCTTCACAAAAAAAAACAAAAAAAAACAATGACTCAACTGTTTTAAGAATAAGCACAATTAAACTAACCTCTATTTTTGAAGATCTACTTTTCTTCCTCTTTTGTGTTTGTTCCACAAAAAAGAACAATGACTTGAGATCACAGAAACGAAAAGAAATTCCTCTCATGATGCTCTGTGCAGTGTCTCCAGCCAGAAACATGTTATTTGGGTTTTGACATAATGTAACAAGGAGCGCCAACTCTGACTGGGTAAAGTCTTGGGTCTCATCCACATAGATCTCATGGAATGTCCAAGGAATGTAGTGCATCTATTTTTTTTTAACATGTACAAGAATAAATTTCTTAATTAAATTTTAGCCTAAATTTGCTATTAAAAGGGAAGAAATTGCTAATTATTTGAAACTACTTGCATCAATTCTAAATAGGTTAATTTTCTTTTTAAGTTTTTAACAATTACATATCAATATCCTTAAAGATTCTGTTATGTTGTTTTGAATATATTTTCCATTTTTAGTGGTATAATTAGAAACAGGCACAAAGCTGTTCCAATTAGCTTCAATTACTTTGTAATAACAATTTTTTATAATTTAAAAGAAACTTTTATTTTGTTCCTAATTTTATAAATTATATTTGTGCTGCAAATTTATAAACAATATTTAAAAAAACAATGTATTTTTTACATTCTCAATTCTCATAATTTAACTTACACCTTTCAACCTGTGGTAAATGTTAGACACCACATCAGCTTCATCAAACAGGTTATATTCTTTTATATAAGAGTTGTAGAGCTTGAAAATTTCATATATCTCATTTCGTTCAGCAGTGTATTTAGGAGCTTGCTTTAATCCTACAGATTGGTATTGATGCAGTGTTAAATATCCTTGCTCGGTGGAGAGGGACTCAAATGAGCCTTTAATGAAGGACATAATTTCAGTCCACACAAGAGAAGGATGGAAGTTTCTTGTCTGTAAGAATTAAAAATAGAGATTATTAGTTGAAAAATTTCTGTATTTTAAACAAATGATATGTAAATATAAGTATTTTTAAAAAAAATTCAAATGAATGTTTTAAAAGATTTTTTTGTTTTCTCATAAAATTTGTTTTTTCATTATTAAGAATTGAATTTGTGACAACCTTTTTTTTGTCAAATGTTGACCAGATTTCTGTAGAAAACATATCATAGTTGCATTCTCTTAGCCTTTTCTTTTTTTCCTTTGCTTTTGAATTACTTGAAGTTGATTGCCTATTGCTATTCTCAGCATCTGTTTATAAAAACTCTTTATTAAGATATGATATCAAAACAAAGTTATACAGATAGTTAAAATTTTAAAGTGTCAACATAGAAAGTACAAACAAGAAATAATTTCAAAATTAAAATCTGTTTTCAGAATTTAAAATAAAGGACTGTTAAAAATTATCTGGCCCGTAAAAATGTTTCTTTACCATCAGCTACATTTTCTGTCAACATAATAGCCAGATTTTTATCCTGCATCCCCCAGCCAGCTATAGGATGTTTCAGTGCCAAATCCTCATCTCGGGGGAAAAATGATTTGCCATCAGCTGAGGCATCCAAAAGAAGAAGTAATTGTCTCGATGTAAAAAATAATGGGTAGTCGTTGTCCTCTAAATCCTGAAAATTAAAAAAAAAAATTTTGCTAATAGCACTAACTTTCCTAAATAAATTATTTTTAAAAATGGGCTGAAATATGATATTTTTGTTCATTCTATTGTTCTCAATTGAAATTATCGTAACATTAAAATATTGTTGCAGCAGGCCTAAATTTAATAATTACATGCTTTTCACAACTATTAAAACATTATTAGTTTTCTATTTATCTGTTTGTTTTAAGCACATTCATTTGGTTTCTTCTCTATTTGATTTATATATTTAAAATTATAATTTAATTTTTTTAAAATCATATCACCATACAAAGTTGTAACTAGTTTAATTAACAGAACATTTTTTTTTAAAGTAACCTTTTTCTCCTTAATTTACCTGTAAATTATTTAGCAACCTATCTTGATTATTTATTTCAGTTATTTTGGATGTTCTGCATAACTTTTTGAAGTTTTTTCTGACCTCAGCACAAAGTACAGAATTTTTAGTTACAAACACCTAGAATTTAAGGAATAAAATGTTGCTTCAAATATTGTTTTCAATACTTTATAATTGATAAATAAAGATTAAGATTTGAGAACAATTCAAACAATGTAAATTCAAAGCTCTACAATGAACAAATGTTATATCACAAAATTGCACTGCTTCTACACCGATTAATGTAACAAAAACATTTCCTTTAAGTAAAATACAAATATCTATTGTTTTTACCTGATGGAGATATTCATATTCATCAACACCCTCATTCTCATCTTTAGATTCATTTTCATCAGAATCATCAGTTTGAATAAATTCTAAAACAAAAATTATAAGATAAAAAAGAAATAAAAATTCATTTATCTCTTTCTCTCTAGCTATATTTTCTTTAGTTGTTAATAGGATGTTTTAAAATTAGCCTGAAAAATATAATAGAATTTCAATGCTTCGAATATTATTTTAAAAGTTAGAAAGGGAAAATATAGCTATAACAAGATAAATTAGTAATGACTATAAATAAAAGTTAAATTCTTACCACCTAAATCCTCTTCTGCAGGCAAAATTTTGAGGTACCGTGGTTGTCCACCCTTTCTGTCTTTTAAATAAAGTGCCCACAGTCGATATAGGCAACACGTGGTCTTGCCTGTTCCACTACGACCTAGTAACAGAATAGGTGAATTCTGTTCTAGATGGATGATGCTGTGTTCAATGTCAGTCACTTGAAAAGGGAAGTCAATCTGAAATTTTAAATATAATGCATTAAAAAAAATTTAAAAAACGAGGTAAAAAAAATCTGTTAAGAACCAATGATATATTTTAAAAAAAACAAGTTAAAGGACAAACTTGTATTGAACTTTACTTCAATTATTAAATACCAAATTTCAGAAGTTAACAAGGAGATGAATATGGAAAAGCAGTGGTGTGAAGATTATGTTTGAAAATGAATCCAATAAGTTTAAGACATATTAATTAAATTAGATTATGATTAGAAAAATTAATAACTGAGTATGCTGAGGTTAATAGATTGTATGTTTGTTTTATTTGCAAAGCTAGTGAGTACAACTTAAAGCTTTAAGTTAGAGCCTATGGTTAGGGTAATCTATTCCCTATGTATGTTAAAATGTGATCATTTAAAAAATAGACATGATAAAAAAAAAGCTCCTCTCAAGTTTCTGATCAGAATTTCACACCTTAACAATTGGATTAACTATCCAGCAATAAATTCATTTTAAAAAATTTCTGAAAGAAACACTGATTATAAGCCTATAATGTATTCATTACAACATTGAATAAATATTTTTCTACCTCTGAATCACTATTTCTCAAGATTGCCTCCGCCATTAAAGAATTGAGAGGATAGAACTTCAAGATTGTGTGCTCTTTTGAATGAGAGCTGGCTGGAGGGTAAAAGCTGACATATTTTCTCCCATCAATTTCTTTTGGTGCATCATCACATTCTGTATACTTTATTGGTAGATGCTTTGAATCTGCTCCAGATTTATTTCTACTTCTGTGAATCTGTGCTTTAAGAACTTTCTGAGAAATAAGAAAAAACTATGTCATTTTTGACTGGCTTGTATTTTTTTTTTAATTTAGATATGTAATGAATTAATATTACATTATTTCAAAGTTTAACATTTTACCGAATTTCAGTTACATGTTTGTAATGTCATTTTTTGTTAATTTGTTTTTTTCTTTTTGTTTAGATCAAACACAGTTGTATGTAATAAATATTACAAATGCTGCATTAAGAAAAAGTAGTTTTACCACAGTTTAAAAATACATGAAATTAAATATTTTATATTTTCATGTACCTTTACTTTGCTAGCTTGACCTTTACTGTGTGACTGAACAATTTTATCAATAGCAGCTTGCAGGTCAGAACTTTTCAGCACAATATCTCTGATGAGAATGTGTTGGGAAAATATTTTGCCATTTGCTGCTGGACTAGATGAACTTTTCATAGAGAATGTTTGGCTCAGTCTGGGTGAAAAGGCAATGATACATTCCCACAGTATACAAGCATCCATTGGTAGAGGAGTCTTGTATAATTGTATTGTAGTAGGGACATCATCATTCTAAAATCAAAATTTTATTATGGTTTAGTAAATTTGGATTTATTTTAAAACTACATTGACCAAAGAATTTATTATTGAAAAATATAACTCTAAATTGCCAGTAGTAATCTGTCTGACTTGATTAAAATTTTTAATTAAATTAAATTAAATTAAATATAAAAGCAAAGTGAAAAACGATTCAGAATAATTTCTGTTAAGACTACTACTACTAAAATAAAAATTTATAGTTAAGGTATACTTATTAATAAGCCTTGTTTAATTAAAACAATTTGAGTACCTTATTTAAATAAACTTAGCCTATTATTAGGATATAGCTTTTGCAGACATTGTTGTGTTAATGCAAAATAATTATAAAATTAACATCCTTATTTTGTAAAAAAAAATGCAGTTACACCTTATATTGATAAGATCACAATAAAAATGTATAGTCAGGCCTACTGTTTATGTTAAAAAAAGAACTCAATTTATAGCTACCTTTTGGCTAGATAGGGCTACTATTTATAGTCAATACAACTCAATTTATACCTACCTTTTGGCTAGATAGGGCTACTATTTATAGTCAATACAACTCAATTTATACCTACCTTTTAGCTAGATAGGGCTACTATTTATAGTCAATACAACTCAATTTATAGCTACATTTTAGCTAGATAGGGCTACTATTTATAGTCAATATAACTCAATTTATAGCTACCTTTTGGCTAGATAGGGCTAGTATTTATAGTCAATATAACTCAATTTATAGCTACCTTTTAGCTAGATAGGGCTAGTATTTATAGTCAATACAACTCAATTTATAGCTACCTTTTCGCTAGATAGGTCTAGTATTTATAGTCAATATAACTCAATTTATTTATAGCTACCTTTTGGCTAGACTTCCAGTCACCAGAACAAAGCTCTTTGATTTTTAACATGATTAAATTTTTCATTGCTTGCGAAAGTTTATTCCTGTTTGTCTTTTTGGAAGTGATGTCATCAGAAGAATCACCACTTGTTTTACCTTGGATTTCTGTTGTAGATTTTAACAAATTCCAGACTTCCTCTGAAAATAATTTTAAAAATATTCTTAACTAGAACTTGTATTTTTGCGTGGAAAATAGATTCTTCTAACACTAGCAACATCTACAACATCTATTTAAAATACTACAAACCAGTGCAATCAACATCCCACTCCATAGACTCAAAATCTTTTGGATCTACAACCACATTTTCATAAGCAGATAAATCTTCAAGAGTTCTCTCCTCATTTGATGTGTCTAATTTTGGATTTAAAATACTATTTATAAATTTTCTAAGTAAATATATGATAAATTGTATATCCTAATGAATTTTTTTTTCAAATTTAATTAATATTTCTGCAAAATCATATTATGAAATAGACTCCTGGATATATGGGTTTATTAATATAAATAGGTAAAATCAATAATATTCAAATTTGTTTTATATTTAGCACTACTCTTATGGATTTGGCTGGTGATAAAATTTAATGGTGTTCTATGAAAAATGTCTTTTGTATAAAATATGATATGGAAAAACTTACCTTCACTGCCTTCAACATTTTTATCATTTTCTTCCTCCTCATCTGAATCTTGAAGCTCCTCCTTATATTCTTTTGTGTTGCCCTCTGGTGTCAGAAAACCTCTAAAATCCACCAATTTTTGCAAAACATCAATTGCTTTTTTTCTAAAACTCTGAACATAAAAAATCAAAATCATTTAATTTAACATCATACCACAAACTAAATGGAAGCATATTAATGTATATCAACTGCAGAAAACAAAACTATCTGTTTATATGTCTTTTAAAAGAATCTAATTATTTTTTTAAAATGAATACCTCATTCTGAGAATTTATTGATTCATTTTTTTCTGCTTCTGAAAAAAAAAAGTCTGATTATACTTCAATTTGTACTATTCTAACTTTTATAAGGATTAATAATGTATGTAGAAATCTAGGCATAATTTTAACATGGTTACTAACTTTAAAAATTACCTTCTGAACTCATAAAATGTGGTAATTTTTTTAGATAAGCATATCTTTCATCTTGTTCTGTCAAATTACAACCTGGCAACTTTCCAGCACCATCTTTTACATTGTATTCTACTTTCCACTCACATAAGAGCTTAACAGCTTTGACAGAATGTTCACTGAATGCAGCCTTAGAAATTTTTATAAAAAAAAAATTTGATGCTGAATTGAAATCTCAAAATAGCTTTATTACAGGAATTTTTGCAAATATATACATTTTGGATATAAAAAGTATTTTTTTTAAATAAGCATCTTTTGTCCTAAGTTTGTAATCTGCTAGAAAGCTTAACTGTAAAGCATAATTGTCCCATAATAATAAAAAATTATTTAATATTCACATTTTTAGGTCCCAATGTCATATTTTTATGAATTTTTAAGTAACTTAAAACGCCATGTTATTCATATGAGATTAAAACCCATACTATTAGTAATACAAAGGGCTTAACACAAAATATAATGGCTAATGGTTATATGGGTAAAAGCTGTGTCATTAGAATAAAGATATTGATTTCAAATGGCAATACTGAATTAAATTCCTGTCTTTTATATTTTGAAAATAAATAAAATGTGTTGTTAGCTTCTCTAAAAATCATATAATTTTAAGATGATTTATTTTTACTTTAACTTTTATTATTCTACTTTATTGATTTGAAAATATATAGGCCTATCTATTATTCTACTTTATCACCACTAGATTTTGTTCTATTACTTCTTAGCTGTAATTTTGTGACCAAACTGGAGACTTTCAAGATAACAATCACATGCTCTCTCACTTGACCGGGGAGTGTGACTGAATTTAATTCTACATACCCTGGTAGCTAGGTGTAAAACTGTATTCCCAGCCTCATCTTTGTGTGATAGGTGGAGATAGTTTTTATCTCCTTGATGTATCTTTCTCAGGGTCTGTAGTATAGTAAAATCTCCTGCAATTTGAAAAATAATCAATTATAACAAATACACTCTCAACTAATGGTGTTGAATTTAAATTTCATTCAGAATTTGGAATATTATCTCTATCTTATTATCTAAGGCATAAGACTGGTTAATTATATTCCTCATTAAAAAAAAAAAATCTTTTACTTTCTAAATGTACTTATGCACTTTTTCAATATTCAAAATAAGCAGTCTGTGTTCTTAAGTAGGCCTATTTCTTTAAGAATTATTTTTTTCATACAATTAAAAAAATATCTTATTACAAAGTAAAAATAATACAACAAATTAATAAACTTCAATAATAAAATGTAAAACATTTCGCTAAAGATATACCTGGAGTTTTATTCAGGCCTATATTAAGTGCTGCATGGTTTGGTGAGTCCCCTTCTTCTAGTGACAGACCAACTGGATCAACTCCAACCTCTAATAAGGTGTTAGCTAGCTGTGTGAAAATAGTGTTTTAAAACTAGTCATTGTAATTTGTTATGTAATTATTTGCATTTATGTTAACTTAAAGTAGGCCCTGTATTAAACATAATGCATTTAGGACGACATGGTCGCTCATGGGAGCATGACCACAAACCTAAAAGTCTTAAGATCAGTTACTGCGCTAGTGTCGATAGGATGTCCTTGAGTCCACTAGCTTGGTATGGGGTTTTTGACTCATGTATGCAAAGTAATGGCAGTAGGGCATAGAACTGACCAAAGTATCCATTTGTATGCCAATTTGTAGGTCAAGGACACAGGAATATTCTACTTCACCTTCTGTTTTGACCATTAGGTCATAAATGGGTATTCTTTACTTTACCAATAATAAGTAATGTATTATAATTTTCTAGATCTTTGCAAATGTGATAGATACGTAAAGGTGAATCTATGTGATCAGAAGCTTTTTATTTATTATTCTGAGAATGATGTGTTTGTTTCTTAAATAAATTATCATGCTTTTCTTATTGTAAACTTGTACTATCTTAGACCTACAAAGTTTTCTTTAGTCTATCATTGGTATTTTATTAAAAAAAAACTTAATTAGAATTTAACAAGAATAAAATTTAATAAATTATTACCAGCCATTCCTCATTTTGTAAACAATGCTGTAGAAGTTTGTTATTTGTAACATTAGCCCCCAGCTCAGCCAGTTGTTTGACTATCTCTATCTTCAATGACTCCGCACACATTGGTTCTTTAACAACAGTTAGCAGTGAAATGTCTTTTGTAAAGCCATCAAACTCCCAATTGGGTTTTGTTTTCCTGTCCTCTTTTAATAAGCTTATGAACAACAACCAGTTTTTTGTTCTTGCCAAACATTTCAACATTTCCAAATATAACTCATGATCCAATTCCAAAAGTATAGGTAAAATGGCTGAAATTCAGATCAAAAGAAGTATTTTTGGGCAGTTATTTATTTTTAAATATTTGATAAACGGATCAACGCTGTGTGATTTAATCTCCATTAATGTTAGCACAACAATATAGAGTAAAATCATTACAGTATAAATGTATAAAAGATGTTTCTAGGCTTGGCAGCATTATTGCTACTCAGCTTTTTTATAAATATACTAAAAACGTCAATTAGACTCATATTTTCCATCAGGTTTAAGAGAAAATAGCGTCAATTATTATTAAACTAATTATTTGGTTTTGTTTACTAATGTATGAAATGTATTTTGAATCTTAAGACCCTTTTTTTAAAAAAAGACTGTTTAACATATAAAATTAGCTTGTAAAATGTAATAAAATGAAGGGAAAAAAAGCTTAATGAGAACTATTAATAGTAAAAAAAAAGTCAAAAAATGAATTACTTGGCAGCATGTCTGTTGAGATAAGAGTGCACAACTCTTTGAGCTTTGTTTTGTCCATCTTGTTTTTCTTTTTAGACTTTTTTGGTTTGTTGATGTTGTTTATTTCAGTAACCAGTGATTTTATTGCTGAGGAGGCAATAACATTAACATCATTAACATGTTGATTAAAATTAAATGCCTAGGTAAAACCTAAAATAGTTTTATAAAATTTGCTCAGTGATATTAGGTTTAATAACTTAAATATAATTGAAATAGCTTAACATAATTTTAATATGAAGAACTATTTTTTTTAATATTGCCAGTTAAATATTATAACTGAAAACCTAAAGGCAAGGTGCTATTCCTCTTTGAGTTCTGTGTTTTAAACTTTTGCTTTGATAATACAAAAATTGAAGTATACCTAGATATTTAGGGATGGCATAGCCAAGTGGTAGAGCTAACCCAAACAAAAGTATCGAGTTCAAATCAGGTTCAAGTCAGTGGAATCCATTCTTACTTACATTAAAGAAAATAAAGACAGCTAGGCATAATGCTGACAACACTGTCCCTTCATATGCCATGGTCAATTAAAGAGATGAACTCTACTTTATCTACTCTATGGGTCTTGGGCACAGATGGGAAAAGAAGATACCTAGCCATTTTCAAATTTACCTTCAGTATGTTTATCTACAAAATTCGGAAGAGATTTCAAACAAATTAATCTTTCATCATCTTCATTCAAGTAAAAAGCTGGCCTTTTTTTATCAGCATCTTCTATACATGGATCTACATTCCATTCACATAGCAGTTTCACAGCAAATATGGAATGTTCATTTAATTCAGACTGGAATTTCAAAACAAACAAAAAATGTATTAAAGTTGTATTAAATATGAGTGTTTCATTTATATAGCTATATTATCAACTACAATTTTTTAAAATATAATTTTACAATTGCATTATGATCAACATTATGAGTGGTGATACATAAAAAAAATCATTTAATTCAAACTGGATACAAAAATGTATATAAAAATAAATTAAAAAGCTGTATTATATATGCGTGTTTAATTGTATAGCTAAGTTATCAGTTACAATATTTTTTTTTTAATTTTACTTTTACATAATGATCAACATTCTGATTGAGATACATCAACTAAAAACTGATGGTTGATAAGTAGGCTTAGAACAAAAATTCATTCAATAGTCACATGTGAACATGTGTATTCTGTTATAAATTTATATACTTAAATTAGGAATATCAAGACATTTCTTTTTACCTTGGCTGCTACATGTAAAATGGTATTTCCGCCATTATCTTTTTCTGACAAATCAAGTTTAGGATAATGGTTGACACCCTGTTCGTATATACTCCTCAATGTTTTTAATATGGAAAAATTACCTGTAAACATTTTAAACGTCTTAGGTTATTTTTATGCCTTTCAATTTATTTTTTATCTTCCAAAATTGGTTCATCAATCAATTAATTTTTAAATTAATAATGTTGTCTGATGTAGTTTTAATTTTGTAAATTATTTATCAGACAAATCTTTACTTTATTCTGTAAAATTATGAAATGAATAAACCCTTGCAAAAGAAATTGTATCACTTGCAAACTGGAAATTATAATGTGAGGTCAGTTAATTCATGGTATTTTCTGATGCAGTTTTCATTTTGCAATTTTAGTTATCAGGCAACTTTATCAAGTAAAATAAATTATTGAGTTTAGTTATGAAATTAGTTAAATCTTGCATACTGGATATAAAAATGTTAGTTCAGTTAATCTTTTAAGATACCTGGAAATTTGTTCAAGGCTATATTTAAGGCTGCGTGATTTGGTGTGTCTCCTTCTTCTAGTGATAGCCCAGAGGGATCGGCTCCCAGTTCTAATAAAGTATTTGCCAACTGAAAAACAAAAGTTTAACACTACATGTTTTGAGCAGTATTTTATACTTAAAAATTACTTAAAAGTAAGTAAAGAATCCTCTTTAGGCAATCCATTGAGCATATGATATATAGTTCGTTTTTTGACCTTGGCATATGAAGTGAAAGTGTAGTCAGCACTATGCCCAGCAACCTTTACTATCCCTAACATGAGTTAGGTACCCATTAGAGCTGGGTGGACATAGGTATGTTCTATTGACTTAGACCCGGATTCAAACTTGAGACTTGCAGGTTAGCAGCCTAGTACTCTACTACTTAGCCTACGCCATACCTTTATAAATTATCATACTATTCCTATATTGAATCAGCTTATAAAACTATTTTTTTCTTATTCACAAATAAGATTTTTACAAAAATTTAAACAAAGTGTGTATGATAGTCAAAGTAATATGAAAAATTAGGTGTACCTCCCATTCCTCATTTTGTAAGCAAACTACCAACAATGATGTTTCAGTTAAATCTGCTTTAACTGCAGCAAGTCGTTTCACAAGCTCAATCTTTACAGACTCATGACATAGTTGCTTTGATTCTTTGATCAGGTTTAAAATGGAAATATTTTTAGCATGGTGTCCGAACTTCTCAGCCTGCTCTGTTTTCATTTTCTCATCAAACAAAGTCAAAACGAGCTCCCATTTTTGTGATGTGGCTAAACACATCAACATTTCCAAATAGGCTTCATCACATAATGAGAGGAGTTCAGGCAAATTGGCTAGGGATTCAGAATATTTTTAAAATAAAAATATAATTTCTTTTACTTTTTTTTCAATTTAAAAAACATTGTGCTTGAACTTTTTAAAATGTTTATTACCTCAATATTATAATTATTTTGTGAAAGTTTATATTAATTTAAATAAAATAGAAATCTTGTTTTGAAATTCTTTTTCAAAAAATTTACAATTTCATGTCATACCTGGTAGAAAATTGGATGAGATAAGATTAATTAAATGATTGATTTTTGTATCGTCATTCCTTAAACCAGCTTCTTGTTTGCTTAAGGAGTAATCATTGTTGATCTCGGTGACTAGATTTCTTGTATCTAAGTGGCAAAACAAATGGAACATGATTAAAAGCAACCAATTTAAACTTATACATAAATCAAGAGCTTTAATATCAGGATTGTTGTAAAATGAAGAAATTATAAAGCTAATTTAAAATGATAAATTTTCACTGAAATAAGTTAACAAAGTGAGTAGCATAGACACTCACTTTCCTTGAGTAAAATATTCACAAACTGTGGCTTTGTTGCTATCTGTAAAGCTGTTTTCATATCTTTATTTTTCTTCTGAATGTCTACACCTTTGTTCAGTAGGTAAACCAGGACTTCTTCAGCAGATGGCTGACTCTGTGTATAAGTAAATACATAAGAACATTTTAATGAAGAAATAGCAGTGTAAAGTAGATCAAATTTATTCAAATTTATTCAAATTTATTCAAATTTATTCAAATTTATTCAAATTTATTCAAATTTATTCAAATTTATTCAAAAAACGGTTACAATTGTAGGCACAAAGGCCTTTTTTCTCATTGACCGTTTATCAGCAATGATAATCAATTAATCATCCTTAGATGTGTTTCATTGGAAGAAAGGGTCATCTGGTTCTAAGAGCCTAGTTAAGAGAAACCAGATGGACCCTAACTGTTATGAGTTGCATCTTTTCAAATATAATTCCATCGCAGATAAGTAAACGAAGGGTCAGAGCTGGTAACTTGACCATGTAGCCATTTTGATTTTTTTTTTTCGTAAGCCAGTGTTGAAGGTGGAATTGCAAAAGCTTTGTAGTTAAAATACATGGATTAATCTACAGTTGAAATCAACTGTTTCCAAACAGTTTATGAAATGGTAACAACAGAATGAGAACCCTTGAATTCTACCAACATCAAGTGATGCCAAATGGTGACACATAGAGTGGATTGAAACAGTTTGTGATATGGAAACAATAAAATGAGAACCCTTGAATTTATACGTACAATAAGTGATGCTAAATGGTGCCTCGCATGTGGATTAAAACAATTTTAGGGATTCTGTAACAACAGAATGAGAACCCTTGAATTCTACCTACATCTAGTGTAGCCAAATGGTGACACACAGTGTTGCCGTTATCATCTACAATGTTTTTTTCACACATCGAGTGAATTAAAACAGTTTGTGATATGGTAACATAGAATGAAAACCTTTGAATTTAGCCGGCATCAACTGCAGCCAAATTGTAAATCATACAGTGGATTAAAACAGTTTGTGATATGGTAACAACAGAATGAGAACCCTTGAATTCTACCTACATCTAGTGTAGCCAAATGGTGACACATAGTGTGGATTAAAACAGTTTGTGATATGGTAACAACAGAATGAGAACCCTTGATTTCTACCTACATCTAGGGCAGCCAAATGGTGACACATAGAGTGGATTAAAACAGTTTGTGATATGGTAACAACAGAATGAGAACCCTTGAATTCTACTTACATCAAGTGTAGCCAAATGGTGACACATAGAGTGGATTAAAACAGTTAGTGATATGGTAACTACCTAATGAGAACTCTTGAATTCTACCTACATCAAGTGATGCCAAATGGTGACACATAGAGTGGATTAAAACAGTTTGTGATATGGTAACGACATAATGAGAACCCTTGAATTCTACCTACATCTAGTGTAGCCAAATGGTGACACACAGTGTTGCCTTTATCATCTACAATGTTTTCTTCATGGTTGACCAGGACAATGTTCTCCACTACATGCTGAAGCAGGCTCATGACCTCCATGGTGAGAGTCTCTGCTGTCAACACAACTATTGTGACTGTAGCATGGAAGTAGGTGTCCCCCGGGTGAAACCTGAGCTGCAGGTGATCACAGCCAGCAGTGAGGTACCACAGCAGCAGACGACAAACCCACCTGCGTGGACAAATCAGATTTATTATAAGCCAGTGGTCAAAATTTTAAAAAATTTTCTGAATTCAGACACGAGGTTACATAAATAGCCTTATTTATGTATCTGTTAAACCTATAGGGCTGGTAAGTAGGTCACCAACCAGTTCTATGGCTCATGCAGTGTTTATTGAGCCGTAGAACTGGTTGGTGACCTACTTACCAGCCCTATATGCTTAACTTGATAAATGTTTTTTTCCAATAATTTCAAATTTAGTAGATATTTTAATTTTTAAGAAGTTGTTTTTTTCAAAAATTGAATATTATTTAAATTAAAATTATGCAGAATAGCATTTTATTGTATTATCTTTATACTTTATTTTATTTTTTTATTAACTTTATTTATTATTTAGCCTGATACCTAATATTTTAAAATGTAAGGCATATAGATCTATTATAATAGATCTAGATCTAGTTGTTAAGGTAGGCCAAAAGAATAAATTAAATCAACTCACTGTGTATTTTTATTTAATTGATCATATTTACAAAATTGGCCTAAATCAACATCATATTTCAATGGTTGTATTTCACCGACAGAACTGGTCTCATGTTTTAACTTTATTTTCCAGGCTTTGTTTACTATAAACTCAGCTGTTTTCCAATCTTGGAACTTGGAATCTATGTACAAGTAGGTGACCTGTGACCACAGTGAGGCAGGAACTTCCTCTGTCAGATCTCTAGGGATTTGATCCTCTTGAAAAGATTAATCGTGTATAGTGTATACATTTAATAACAGAAAACAAAGGAATTTGTTTTGGTTTTTTAATAAATAATGAGATGGCAATGTTTTAACTTATTAAGTTCACTGCACATTTTTTTGTTTCAATCAATAATTTTAAGCATTTCAGTTCATTTGCAATAAAAATGTTGCTTTTGCAACTATGTAGGCCCTAATAAGTGATAATTGTTAATATGCAAAAGATTAATTGTATAAGTCTTTCTTATGTAAGTTTGCTATTTTCATATTGGTATAACCCCATTGAATGGGGTCAACTAATGGAGTTCACATTCTCCCCTTCCCTGTTTTTTTCCTGCTGTTTTTACCGCCCCCCCCCCTCCCCTCTACAACCTCACTGTAAATTTTACGCTGTCTTTTAACGTACAAATTTTATCAGAAAAGTTTTAACGTAAACTTTCAAGACAAAACTTTAAAACTTTCAACTTAAAACTTTCAACATTAAACTTTCAATGTAAAACTTTCAATGTAAAACTTTCAACGTAAAACTTTCAAAATAAAACTTTCAACATAAAACTTTCAACGTCAAACTTTCAACACAAACTTTAAAACTTTCAACCCAAAACTTTCAACTAAGAACTTTCAACGTAAAACTTTCTATGTAAAACTTTCAACGTAAAACTTTCAACTAAAAACTTTCAACATAAAACTTTAAACTAAAAACTTTCAACGTAAAACTTTCAACGAAAAACTTTCAGCGTAAAACTTTCTAGGTAAAACTTTCAACGTAAAACTTTCATAATAAAACTACCAACGTAAAACTTTCAACGTAAAACTTTCAACTAAAAACTTTCAACTAAAAACTCTCAACATAAAACTTTCAACGTAAAACTTTCAACTAAAAACGTTCAACATAAAACTTTAAACTAAAAACTTTCAACGTAAAACTTTCAACGAAAAACTTTCAGCGTAAAACTTTCTAGGTAAAACTTTCAACGTAAAACTTTCATAATAAAACTACCAACGTAAAACTTTCAACGTAAAACTTTCAACTAAAAACTTTCAACTAAAAACTCTCAACATAAAACTTTCAACGTAAAACTTTCAACTAAAAACTTTCAACATAAAACTTTAAACTAAAAACTTTCAACGTAAAACTTTCAACGAAAAACTTTCAGCGTAAAACTTTCTAGGTAAAACTTTCAACGTAAAACTTTCATAATAAAACTACCAACGTAAAACTTTCAACGTAAAACTTTCAACGAAAAACTTTCAGCGTAAAACTTTCAACGTAAAACTTTCAACGTAAAACTTTCATAATAAAACTTCCAAAGTAAAACTTTCAACTAAAAACTTTCAACATAAAACTTTCAACGTAAAACTCACCAACATGTCGACCTGTCTCCACCAGCTCATGCAGTATTTTACATCTGATAGTGTCGTCATCCTGTGACGTCAGACACCTGTAGGCGCGTTCTAGGGCAGGCACAGCTTTGTGCAGACTCCCACCGAGTGAGTACGCCCTGGCTACCCTCAGATGTCCCTAAAGACGACGTGTAGCGGGAGGTGTCGTTATTCAAAAGAAAAAGTCATAAAAAATAATAAAGTAGAAAATGAATGTTTACTGAATCAGTCCTCAAGCGTTTAAATCACTGCTTAAATATCAGCAAGATTATAGAATGATAGATATAAATTATATAATTTTAGGCGTGCGGCGTCAAAACGGCCAATGACAAAACGGCCCCGTCAATACGACCCCGACAAAATGGCCAGCGACCCCGTCATATAGGCTGCCGACAAATAGGCTCCCGACAAAAGGACTCCATTCAATAAGGCTCCCGACATATAGGCTCCCGTCATTTAGTTTTTCGACAAAACGGCCACCGTCATTATGACTCCTGACAAATAGGCTCCCGTCATTTCGGCTCACGTCAAATAGGCTCTTGTCAAATTGACTCCCGACAAAAGGACCACTGACAATACGGTTTCCAGAGGCGTAGCGAGGGGGGGGGCGGGGGGGGGACATATGTCCCCGGGCGCCGACCTAAGGGGGGGCGCCAAATTGAAAGTTTGAGGGGGGGGTGCAAATGAAAAGTTCGAGGGGGGGGGTGCAAATCGAAAGTTTGAGGGGGGGGGGTGCAAATGAAAAGTTCGAGGGGGGGGGTGCAAATCGAAAATTTGCTCCCGAGGGGGGCGCCAAATTGAAAGTATGTCCCCGGGCGCCGGGAAGGGTCGCTACGCCTCTGACGGTTTCTGTAGAGACTAAGTCTCCCTGCAAAACGGTCTCATTGAATATGACACCTACCAGTGGGACCCTTTCATCAATATTCTTTAGAGTTAGCTTATCCAACACTCTTTAGTAATACAACCATGCTTCTCTGGTTCGGATGGCCTTGTTTTTAAAATAGTTTAGAAATAGTATGTTTAATTTAAAGGTCATCTCAGTAGCGTACGCAACGGGGGAGCAGGGAGAGCGCCCCCCCCCCCCTGGCCATTTTCAGCTAAGTTGCGCCTTTTTTGGAAACTTTTTAAACTCAAAGTAAATTTTTTTTTCATGCAGTAATTAAGCATAATAGTAATAGACTAGTAGAGTCTACGTTAAAAACACGCATTAGCAGCTGTTTCAGTTTGTCATTCTAAAAATAAATTATTACGATTACGATTGCATTGCAATGTTTAAAAAACCTCTACGAGTAGTACCACTTGGTAAGAGGGGGTGTTAAGTTTAAGGCAACTGTATAATGTATTTGCTTACGAATAATTGAATTAAAAAATGTTATACATAAAACTTCACACGTAATTACTTTATACATACAGTTTGAATCGTGTAATTTATTTTATGAAATTACAATACAGACACAAATACAATTGA